TTTTGTAAAATGCCAATTAAAATCTTTTTGGCTTGCAGTGCGGCTTTGTTGCCAATGACCAAGTTAGTCGATTTGTAAAATGTACCCCCAAATATTTGTAACTTCTTACAACCTCAAGTGTTTCACCTTTATAGAGCCCTTTTTCTCGTTTTGATAATTTCCCTCCATTTTTGAAAACTATAACCTTTGTCTTATCGATATTGACCTTCAATTTCCATTTGTTACAATAACACTCACATCATTCATTAACTTTTGAAGTCCAAAACTATATGATCAGCAAAAAGAAGCAGAAAAAGTTTAATAGTTTCTGGATGGAGTTGGATGCCCTCGTTACAATGTTCAGATAATTGTATCGAATGTTCATTTATGAAAAATGAAAACAGAAATGGACTTATAATACATCCTTGTCTAACCCCAATATTGCAGTAGAAGGAATCAGATAAGGTGTTATTGTTTCGAACACAGACCTTCACATTGTGATGTATGCAACATAGTAATTTACCAATTTTAGTACTGATACCTTGAGATTTGCAAAGGGACCACAACATGTTTCTGTTTATTGAGTCAAACGCTTTAGCAAAATCAACATATATAGCATACATTTTTCTCCTTTTTGTGCTAAATATCTCTGTACAAGTGTCTGCAATACAAATGCATTATCAATTGTAGAGTATCCATGCCTGAAACCGGCTTGTGCTTCATGTATCTTATGAAAGGAATCGGTCCCAAATACTTAACGTTTGTGTATAATACTGGTAAAAATCTTACTGAAAAAACTCAAAAGAGTTAAACCCCTATATAAAGTTGTTGGTGACATTAGTTGATCCCAGTTTGTGCAAAGGAATTACAATCCCCAAAGTCCACTGTTCTTTTCAAGCATAACGTTAAAAAGGATTGCAAGGTAGGGAAGGAGAATTTCGACTGAATATTTAAAAAATTATCTTCACCGGCTGCTTTATTACTTTTTAAGTTTGCGATGCTTTCCGAAATTTCATTTCGTGTTATAGGGGAATCAAGAATATCTGAAGTTAACTGACAAAAAGTTATAAAATGCATTCGATTCGTCGATATCAAAACATCTTTCCTCGTTCTCTGTAGAAGTTGAAAACAGATCCCTGAAATAGTTAAACAAATCAACAATTGGAATATTGTTTTGTGTATAACGATTGGTATTTAGCCCTTTAAGAGTGCCCAAATATGTTTAGAATCGCGTATACAATTTTCAAGTTTTTCCTGCTTCTCTTTGAATAAATTCGCTTTATTTTCTCTGCCTACTCTATTATATTTATTTCTAATATATGTATCCTCATATAATGAGTTATTATCCTTTTTTGCTCCTAAAATTGTTTAAATATTTACATCTTTCTTTTTTGAGTAGCTTACATTCACGGTCAAACCACTGTTGACTGGATGTGTTAGAAGTACACGCTCTTTTCATGTCACTTGCTGCCGTGCACAAGGCCTCTGACATGTATCTAACACTTTCGTCTATATGGTGTACCACTTCAACAGCCTTGTTTAATAAAGAGCAGCATTCACTGCTCAACAATTTGTACATAAATTGGTCAGCTTTATCATTGACCCAAACGAATTTAGAAGCCTTCTTATTACCATGAGCTTGCACGGGTTTAGTCTGCACGGAAGTATATAAGATGACAGGATTCCGTGCGTGATACAATGTTATAATTACAGCATACGTCAAACAACCCAGATGAACAGATTATGTAATCTATGATGCTAGCACCTTGATTGGCAATAAACGTATAGTCTCGAACTTCTGAGTCTGACCAACATCTTCCATTCATGATATGTATATTTAAGATACTGCATTAATTTAATAAACTTTTTCCAAAGTTGTTTAACACATTATCTGCTGACGCTCGTACCATGTTAAAATGGTCGAGTATAAAACTATACTCGGAAGTCCTTATTTTTATCATTTATGTGATAGTTAACACAAAGTAGACTTGAATTATTATACTGAGTCAAATTAAAAACTTCACATTTTAAAAAGTAATCCCATATATGATATACAACGGACAAATGTATCAGAGAAGGTAATTTGTAATCATTAATGTCCAAAGAAGGATTTTAACTATCGCTGGTAACCATAATTTGTTCCAAGCACCTATGGTATTCGGTAATAACATCAACAGTTTAAATCATAAGTCCCAAGCACGAGAATCTGATGGCACACAAATTCAGTAGCGTGTATGGCCACCATGTGCGTTGACAACTGCCACACATCGCCTCCGCATGGACCTTGTGATGCTTGTGAACACATGATTGGAAAGACGACGCCATTGTTGCTGCAAAAATGGTGCCAAGATCTTGCACATTCTGTGATTGGTTCTGGAGAGTGCACAGACTTCTGCCAAGAGCATCCAAGACGTGTTCAATGGGATTGAGGTCGGGAGACCTTGACGGCCAGTCCATGACGTTGACTTCCCGCATTCTGAAGGTAATTCCTTGTCAAAATTGCTGTGTAAGGTCTGGCATTGTCGTGTCGGAAGATCAAACCAGGTCCATGTGCTGCCATAAAAGGCAGAAGTTCTGGTGCCAGTACCTGGTCGCGGTTGCCACGGATGACAAGAAGCCTGGAACGTGCATTGCCACAGAAAGCACCCCACACCATGACACTTCCGCCTCGAAATCTGTCAACTTCCTGTACACAACACTGGGCGTAACGTTCATGACGGCGCATCCACACCCTCGCCCTACCATCAGCAAATCGAAGATTAAATCGGGATTCATCACTGAAGACCACTTGATTGACGACGACAATTCCTCTGAGTCCATCGTAAGTGTCGCTGTGCCCACAATTGACGTTGACGTCTCTGTAATTGAGTCAGAATCGGCCCGCAGTATGGCCGTTGTGCTTGAAGGTGAGCAGTTCTCAGACGGTTTCGAACAGTTTGCGCACTGAGTCTACCCCTAAACAGTTCATTTCTGGTTGATGTGCCGTCAAAAATCGGTTACGGAGGAGACGTAAGACAATCTGATGATCCTCTGCATGTGACGTCACACGTGGTCGACCTGGCCGAGGGCGATCAGCGGTGGTACCCGTTTGCTGTAGACGCGTCTGTAAATCATAAACAGTCCGTCGACTAGAACCCATCCTCTTTGCGACTTCAGCTACGGACGATCCCGTATGCAACATGCCGATGGCACGTTCACCTTGCACATTTGAAAGGCGTGGCATGACAAATGGCCGTAAAGACTTTTGTTTCCTTGTGTTTTGCTAACAAGTATGACTGAAAACACGTGCGGTATTATGGCCACGTGACCAGTTGCACGTGAAAAACCACTGTTGCCACTATAGGTGCCACCTGCACAAAAACGGGTGTTATCTGAAGACAATACGTAGCCATTACTGTTTAAATACACAATAAGGGCCCACACTGATAACTGATCAAAATGTTAAAATTTTAGGATTGTGAAGTTTTTAATTTGGTTCAGTATATTATCGTTTTAATTATAGCTTCTCACAAATAGAGTTATTAGTAAAAATAAGCCAAAATATGGTAAATTGTGCTCTATTTTAATTTTCCAATTATTAGAAAATGAGCGGTCATGAATTATTAGTATTATCAACCTAGCCATTTGTTATCTCAAAATAATCCAACACGTCTTATGATGGGACGGCAGTGTTCAAATTCCATATAACTTCTATAATTCTAGAATTTTGATGCAATGGTCGGAATTGTATCTTAAATTATTATTTTATCAGGAATAATACTTTCCAATATCGTGTTATTTTAGTTGCAGCTTCCACTGATTATACTAAAAATGATAAGAACCATAAGTGTTGCACTTTGGTTCAGGTGATGTGCTGGATATTTTTTTACGTCTGGAACAATTTGACCAGTCAGCGTAGGGTTGGTTGGTTCGTTGTTTAACGCCGCACTCAGCAATATTCCAGCTATATGACGGCGGTCTGTAAATAATCGAGTCTGGACCAGACAATCCAGTGATTAGTATCATGAGCATCGATCCACGTAATTGGGATCGATGACATGCATCAACCAAGTCAGTGAGCCTGACCACCCGATCCCGTTAGTCGCCTTTTATAGCAAGTATGGGTTGCTGAAGACCTATTTTACCCCGGAATTGTCACGGGTCGTCACCGTAGGGGCTTCCTGTGCTACATGTATTTCGATTGCGAAAACGTTATGTTGACATTTAATAGTCAAACTGCCTCAAATATGACTTTTAGGGAGTCATGGTACGGCATTTATGATATGTGTATCCATTCTTTTGCAACTAAAGTTCGTTTCAAGGCGTCAATAGCGGTAATTTGACCGTGGTTGCTGTAAATATAGGTGCGTTACTACCGATCTACCGATCAAACGATTTCCCCGAAATTATTGTAAACATTATTATAATTTTTGAATGAAATTTTGATTATTTTTAATAAAATATATTTCAGATATTAGTCCAGATAAACAATGAACATAATAATAGGATTAAATCGCGTACTTCAGTTCGGATGTGTTGACTGGTATTTCCGGTGTTACGTGATCGCGGTGATCAGCTGATAATGTTTGCCGTGATGGGGGGCGGGGGGCATCGTGTCAGTGTAAAATTTCAGTTTATTAAATATATCAGTAAATTTTGGGAGCCATGCGTTACCGCGCTATAACCGAGTTATCGTTATAATGAGGGCGTCAATGGTGAGGGAACACTATCTCTGATTCTCAGTTCTGTAGATGTAACATTTTACAGAATTTATTGGTTAGATTTGGGGCAGGTACATTTTAAAATAGGGCAAGTAAGACTGTTGGTCATACTTGCCCTTGGTCAAGTAACATTTTAAACTAGGGCAAGTAAGACTGTTGGTCATACTTGCCCTTGGTCAAGTAACATTGTTCATAATTTTTCACCCCCTGCTGACTTTGGTCGAAGCAAAAAGTCTTTTATTCGAAAGATTTGAGCAACATTCAATGTGGTACCTGTGATTCTAGGTAAGATCAACACACACCACAATAGACATAACTTACATTTGGATGATTCTTAGGATGAACACTCAATCTGCTCGTCTTCTCAAGCTTCTTTGCGTCATAACTCGGACAGTCTGACGTTTCATTAACGTATTCGAAATTCGAACTGAAGCAATTTTCAACACATCTTACTTGGCACAACGTAATGCCGATGTTCCTGATGGTGAAAGACCTGTACGCCATTTGCTCTGTCATCTGAAAACCACATTTCTTTGAGCAGCATGCAGAAATTCCAAACAAGATGAAAACAGTTGCTGTTAATGCCAGCTGCAAACCGCAACAGTTACTTGAACACAGCGACAGCATCTTGTTCACAGAGGAGTACAGGAAACAGACAGAGATGTGCTGAACGACTACGACACAGAATTCCGAAGGCTGCCACCTAGCAAACGATGAATACAAGACACGACTGTTGGAGAGTATCACCTGACAATTTCACGTTCCCCGTCTTGAAGGCTATGATGAGATCAATATTACGCACATGTTTAAAACATGACTCACAATAAACATGTGGATCACGTTCATTGGTTCAAATTGTTGACGTAGAATAAGTGTTCGATTACGATAAATGTCTACCGCTGCGAGTGAGTGGGATGTACTGCGTTCAGCATGGCTTTGGGCGTCCCTATGTTATTGTTTCCCTACTTACATGTGATAAATGTCTACCGCTGCGAGTGAGTGGGATGTACTGCGTTCAGCATGGCTTCGGGCGTCCCTATGTTATTGTTTCCCTACCTACATGTGATAAATGTCTACCGCTGCGAGTGAGTGAGCGAGTGGGATGTACGCTGTGTGTGAGTGAGTTGGCGTGAACACTGCGTTAAGCATGGCTGGCGGTACCCCTATATCAAGTTTTACCTACTCATATGTGATAAATGTTTGCCACTACCGCTGCGAGTGAGTGGGATGTACTGCGTTCAGCATGGCTTTGGGCGTCCCTATGTTATTGTTTCCCTACCTACATGTGATAAATGTCTACCGCTGCGAGTGAGTGAGCGAGTGGGATGTACGCTGTGTGTGAGTGAGTTGGCGTGAACACTGCGTTAAGCATGGCTGGCGGTACCCCTATATCAAGTTTTACCTACTCATATGTGATAAATGTTTGCCACTACCGCTGCGAGTGAGTGGGATGTACTGCGTTCAGCATGGCTTTGGGCGTCCCTATGTTATTGTTTCCCTACTTACATGTGATACATGTCTACCGCTGCGAGTCAGTGAGTGGGTGGGATGTACGCTGTGTGTGAGTGAGCTGGCGTGAACACTGCGTGTAGCATGGCTGCGGCACCCCTATATAAAACTTTACATACTTATGTGGGATAATGTTATGGGTCAGTGTAATTCATTTGTGAAACAATGATTGTAACTATGTTGCAAGTTGTCTCTGTTGAGATTCAGTAGAAATGTATTGCATTATATTTAAACAATGATTAGTTCTCAGGAATGTAGTACGATTAAATGTAAGCAGTGGTGAGGAAGGTATTATATTTAGATGCTCGAATTATCCGGAATAGCACGGATTAATGTCAACCATTCTAGAAACATATGGAATAAGCCGTGATGTTCCGGTGACACTGGACTGGTCTAGCACTGTCATGGAAACAAGTTAGACTATATAAGTGGAGCGAGCGCGTACTCGTATCATCTCTCATATTTCATCTGACAAGCCCATCAAGACCAGCTTTTCACCCTTGAGTTCAGCCTAGGCCGATCTCGGAAGCTCGACCACTTTTGCAGCGAGGTGATTACTATCTTGTCATTGTCATTTCCACTGCTCTCACATTTTATTCTGCCATTGAATATTGTACAACCACTCTATTGTGTACCGCCATTGAATATTGTACAACCACTCTATTGTGTACTGCCATTGAATATTGTACAACCACTCTATTGTGTACTGCCATTGAATGTTGTACAACCACTCTATTGGGTACTGCCATTGAATGTTGTACAACCACTCTATTATGTACTGCGATTGAATGTTGTACAACCACTCTATTGTGTACTGCCACTTAATATTGTACAACCAATCTATTGTGTACTGCCACTGAATATTGTACAACCTCTCTATTGTGTGCTGCCATTGAATATTGTACAACCACTCTATTGTGTACTGCCATTGAATATTGTACAACCACAATTTTTGTGTACAGCCATTGAATATTGTACAACCACTATATTGTGTACTGCCAGTGAATATTGTACAACAACTCTATTGTGTACTGCCATTTGATATTGTACAGCCACTCTATTGTGTACTGCCATTGAATGTTGTACAACAACTCTATTGTGCACTGCCATTGAATGTTGTACTACCACTCTATTGTGTACTGCCATTGGATATTGTACAACAACTCTATTGTGTACTGCCATTGGATATTGTGCAACCACTCTTTTGTGTACTGCCATTGGATATTGTGCAACCACTCTTTTGTGTACTGCCATTGGATATTGTACAACCACTCTATTGCGTACTGCCATTGAATGTTGTCCAACCACTCTATAGTGTACTGCCATTGGATATTGTACCACCACCCTATTGTTTACTGCCATTGAATGTTGTACGACCACTTTATCGTGTACTGCCATTGAATATTGTACAACCACTCTTTTGTGTACTGCCATTGAATGTTGTACAACCACTCTATTGTTTACTGCCATTGAATGTTGTACGACCACTTTATTGTGTACTGCCATTGAATATTGTACAACCACTCTATTGTGTACTGCCATTGAATGTTGTACAACCACTCTATTGGGTACTGCCATTGAATATTGTACCACCACTCTTTTGTGTACTGCCATTGGATATTGTACAACCACTCTATTGTGTACTGCCATTGAATGTTGTCCAACCACTCTATAGTGTACTGCCCATGGATATTGTACCACCACCCTATTGTTTACTGCCATTGAATGTTGTACGACCACTTTTTGTGTACAGCCATTGAATATTGTACAACCACTATATTGTGTACTGCCAGTGAATATTGTACAACAACTCTATTGTGTACTGCCATTTGATATTGTACAGCCACTCTATTGTGTACTGCCATTGAATGTTGTACAACAACTCTATTGTGCACTGCCATTGAATGTTGTACTACCACTCTATTGTGTACTGCCATTGGATATTGTAAAACAACTCTATTGTGTACTGCCATTGGATATTGTGCAACCACTCTTTTGTGTACTGCCATTGGATATTGTACAACCACTCTATTGTGTACTGCCATTGAATGTTGTCCAACCACTCTATAGTGTACTGCCATTGGATATTGTACCACCACCCTATTGTTTACTGCCATTGAATGTTGTACGACCACTTTATTGTGTACTGCCACTTAATGTTGTACCACCAATCTATTGTGTACTGCCACTGAATATTGTACAACCACTCTATTGTGTACTGCCATTGAATATTGTACAACCACTCTATTGTGTACTGCCATTGAATATTGTACAACCACTCTATTGTGTACTGCCATTGATTATTGTACAACCACTCTATTGTGTACTGCCATTGGATATTGTACAACCACTCTATTGTGTACTGCCATTGTGTTGTTTTGGTACAATATCACTTGTGTGCATGCAAATGAAACAGGGGACAAACTAACTTAAGTATTGATAATACCCCGTAATTTTATTACCTGCAAATAAATACATCATGCCAATATGATATAAAATCTTTATAAATATTTATGTATCTGACAGTGGCCTTGCAAACATGATTAGGTAAACAACATTTCTACATGTAATTACCGTGTATTCATATCTATAACAGGGATTGTTGACAGTAAGTTTACTTGCAGGTAGCCAAGTAGCGAGCAGTGGATACCTTTAGGACGCCAATCATTGATTTAAATTGGTCACTGATAAGAGGGCTGCAATTGTTTTTCAATTGATAACTATATTGTTTTCAAAATGCAAAATGTTTTATCATTAAGGGACTAATCTTACAATCTTTAGATTTTGAACAGTCAAAACAATTTCAAATGTAAACACAAGTGAGTGAGTGAGGATTTAACGTCATATCGGCAATGTTCCATCCATATTGTGACGGGATATATAAAGCACAGTAAAGTTCTAACTCTCAGGCACAATATAGTAATACTGAAATAAGTGGAGTAAGATTGAACAAAGTTTATATATGCCTAAAAGCGATATAGCATTAGTCATCAACACATGGACTACAGATCACCAGCAACTAAACGGAGGTCAACATATTAGGGACCATGGGGACTTAGAGTACCTTTGCTTCCTGCATATGTATAGAATACTATTACCCACGTGGTGAATATACAGGTGGTGAGATACAAAATCCGTACGCCACACGTTTGTCGTACGAGGTTGACCTCGTTTTATTCGTTTTGATTGGACAACCGTGACCTCTGTCACACCGGAACTACTTTTTTCATGCATAAAAAATCACGAGATGTCATTCACTTTCACAAAACGAAACGAATCAGAACTGAAGAATCTCATGATGTGATATTTGCAACACTTTAATAAACGAAACAAGATAGTCACACGCATCAAAGTCGTTTTGCAGTCTATATAAGTTATGCAGAAAGCTCTTACAGCCATTCTATAATCGTGTTATAACAATTTGCAATGTACGATTATCGATAGATCGAGGGTCCCTTTTGAGAGTGACGCACCCGACCACTTTCGCGAATTTGATTTAAGGTAAAAGGTTATGCGTGGTGAAATGAAGTCAGTTTAAACTGTCTCTACAGAAACCTAGACATAAGTGTGGTGCTCCGGTTGTGCCATCATCATCGAAGCGTAGTTGTGACATTGCTTCCGAAGGTGTTAATTTTTCATGAATGAACATACACGACTGCAATACCAGATCAATCAAAGTAAACAGTTCCGATACAAATCATTCAAAAACTCCGTCGAAGTGTGCCTGAATTCTGTTTTTGTGGCCCAAAACATCCCAAATGTGAACAATAACAGTTCCTAAAGATCTCTAGCGTAAAACGCTGTTTGTAGATCACAGTTGTCTTTTCTTATTCCGATAGTGATCTCGTTCGAAGCTGTCACTGACATGCAAGGAGACTAGATTTTGTTGATTTCCACGACTTCAGTATAGGGTCGTACACTTAACATAAACGTCTTTGGCGAGCACTCAGGTTTCCCTCTTCCAAAGCCATACAGGTTAAAAATTCAGCTAATAGATCAAGGAACCGCACCATTTTAATTGAGCAGCCAGGATCCCGACGGTGCGAGTGGCCGATTGTTGGTCCAAGATTCAAAGGGCCGCGCTGTTTGACTTTTAATGTTTTCTTACAGTTGTCCCGCGTACGAACTAAAATGCGCCTGAATTACCAAAAGTTGCAGGAATTCTAAAATAAAGATTTTGAGCTTTGGTG